CCCCGGGGGGATGGCGCAGTGGTGGAGCGCCTGGAAAATTTTCTGCTGTCTCACGTCAGCAAAGATCGAAGGTTCGAATCCTTCTCCCCTCACAACCATATTTATGGTCCACCCACATGAGAGAGTTACTCATTAAACTACCTATTCGACTGAGAGAGTTACTCGTTAAAACTTGAGAGGAAGACTCATTTAAAGTGAAAGATCTGAGAGAGTTACTCACTAAAAAACTACTAGGCTACGAGCCTCACCTTCATTTAGATAACCCCCTACATTGTACCTACTCAATTTGTACCTAGATTAAATTCTAGCCTACGTAGTTACTTGCAGGCCTTAAGCCTGCACGTCTGATATAGCCCTTTGGGCTGAGAAAGGACGTTAAACTACAATAATAATAATAATAATAATAATACTACCAAATCCCCACCGACAACGGTAGGACAACCTCCGAGCCAATTACCGAGGTTCCTGTCCACCACCCCCGAGGCTCCACGTGGCCAACTAAGCCGTCTTATCTCATCCACTATTAGCCAATTAAGCGATAGGAAAGACCCCACCTTCCCACAATAGCAAGCCGAAGTAGAAGACCGTCTCGTATTAAACGAAGATCACTTCCCTATAGAACGCCACCAGATAGCAATGGTGTATAGTCACACGTCAGGTGATGCCAAGGGATATCTTGAACCTAAGTACCTATCTAAGGCGGATGGGTACTGGTTCCAAAACGCAGAGGAAATGATTAAGCTGCTTAAATCATACTTCGTAACCGGCAACGAGCAGGCGGAAAGCTGAGCTGCTTTCCACCATCTGTTCATGAAGGATAGAGAACTGTTCCCAGAATTCAAAGCTCGTTTTATCAGTCTAGCTATCAAAGGACACGTATCCGAACTGGAGTGGCCCTTCTACCTGTGGCAGAAGATCAGCCCAGCCCTTCGTGTTCCTAATATGTCTGTGAAGCGTTTCTTTAATAGCTCTTTTGATGAGATGTGTAAACATCTTACTGCCTATAAGCTAGAAAGGAGATCAGCTCCTATCGTACCGTTACCAGAACGACGGACCACCTTTACTCCAACGGCGAGGCCGAGGCCAACCTCTAATTATAAGAGGGAAGAGCGCCCGGTCACGTATAGAGCAAGGTCCGACCTAGTTCTGACTCCGCCCCGTGTTTTCTCAAACCCGCCCAGGCCTGCCTCCAAGACACTAGTACTAGAACGCCAAGCTACACCTGGTAACTGCTACAACTGCGGCAAGCCCGGACATTTTGCAAGCGACTGCCCTATCCCTAGGGTAAGAGAGATTGAAGCGGTACAGGAAGAAGAAGTGTTCGAAGAGGCTGCAGAATACCCATTGGATGAGGATCGGACAGGAAACGACGAAGCCTAGGAAAACTCTCCGCCCTAGGCATTTACAAGTATGACCTTGCTAAGATTGATCTGTCGCACTTGTTTAGAGGAAAGCACTTCCGAGTTTCCACCGTTCTTTGCTCGAAGGGCTACAGCGTTAGCCTGCAGTCGCTGGTTGATACTAGAGCCCAAGGGTTCTTATTTCTAAATTCTGCAATTGCTCGTACTATTTCTAGTTCACTTCAGGTTCCTATCCAAAGACTGCCCTTCAAGATTACAGTCAAAGGATTTCAAGATCAGGTTCAAACAAGGGTTAACCAGTATATCTGGTTGCACCTCTCAATTGACGGCCGCAAGATCTACAACTGCCTATTTGTCATTATGGACTTGGGATCACAGGATTGTATTATTAGGATTAAGTGGCTACGCCGCTTCCAGCTCTAACTAGATACAGTTCGCAACCGAATCGTATGGCCAGCCAAGTACCCAGCAACTTACGATCCCGCCCCACCCATTTTGGTGCAGTTAAAACAGCCATCTGTAGACACTGAGGTCGAGAAGGATATCAAGAGACGCAACGCTCTCTGGGAAAAGGACGACTATCAGAGAAGGAACAGTCCAACTACGGCCTGTATCCAAAGAATCCGTGGCCTTCTTCGACTCCCCAGAGCCCGTCCCCTACCGCCCACACCCAACCCTACCCCGAAACCTATCCGACCTGCCTCTCCTTCGCCTCCATCCGCCCGCATCTCGCTTATTTCCGCCAATGCTTTCCACTACACCATGAAACGCAAGGAAAACGAGTTCTTCACGACAAGCATCTACGAGATCGATCGGATCCTCGAAGAAAGACAAATGAAAGACGATCCTGATAATGCTAAGCTGGTACAGGATCGACTCCCATCCGTCTACCACGCGTACCGAGACGTGTTTAGCAGAACCGCCGCTGACCAACTTCCTGAACACCGCCCGTACGACCACAAGATCGTTCTCACTGAACCTCTGCCGAATCAGTTCAGTCCGTTATACAAGCAGAGCACA